TTTCGCGGGGATAAAAAATTTTTTGGGCCATGCCGGGCCCCCCCCCCCTTACGAAGTTGGGCCCCCCCCCTTGAAAAATTTCTGCGTACGCCACTGCCTCTATGCCTTGTAAGTAAGAAAATATCACAACCAAACTATTTTTCTTTCACTCAAATTCTTACAAATATTCCTTTATTCTGTCGTAAAGAATTGAAAGTGAGTTTCACATCTCCATTCTGTTGTTTTAACAATAGAATGAAAGTAATTTCAAGAGTTGTGCTTTTATTTAATTCATTATTAATGATGTCTTGTCGATGATGTTGGTAAGATATCCATTATAATCGTGTACTAATGGAAGCAACTAAAGTGTACACTTGTTACATTACTTCGATGAAATAAACATATTCAAATACCAAGAAGAAAGTTTATCTTTATTATAGAATAGTTTAATTAGAAAAATGTCAAATAAATAAATCAATATCATCACAATTTTATAATTGACACACTTTCTGAAATTTTATTATTTCGAAAATGTTTATATTTAGAATTCCTATTCTACAAGCTAATTAGATTCATTTTAAACTTCTATGTACTGTCAGATTGATCTTTAATTTATAACTTATTTTTTCCTAATGATAATATATAGAATATATGATATAAGAAGCAAAAAATCTCATTTTATTCTTCGTTTTGTCGGTTCAAACCACCATATCAACCTGGTATACACATTGATTTAATCGTTCAGCTAGCTTCCGAAAAACACATCCTCTCTCTCCCTCTCTCAATGAATCTTGACATATACCTCTTGAGTTTTACCTAAACTTCGAATTGAATTAGTTCATACTTTTCTATATCCGTTCTATTCGGATTTTGCTAGATCAAATAATATCATCACCATACTGACTGCTAGGATCTAAGGAGGAGCCGCAAAAACTTCGATTTAAACTTTCACTTCCTATATTTTCGAAGAAAATAATTACATGTGCGTTCCACAATAATAAGATGAATTATGTTAAATAAAATGAACAGAGAATACCTTTAATTGACATGTAAATGTTTACTAATCAATTTTCTTTTATTCATATAAGTTATGTTTAATCACTGATTATAATGTAGAGATAAATAGAACACACATATAAAAAAGAATGATAAATTCTTTGAAAAATGTATATATCTATTGCCATAATGCTTGAAATTCATATTGACCTGAGCCAATATATACTGTCATTAAACCTGTTTTTGAATCTTTTTCAATATTAAATCCTTCAACATTTCGCTTACTGACATCTGATGACCATATAATCTTATGACCTTCAGTTAATATTTTACATTGTCCACCAATAAATAATGACTCAAATATAACACGTGCTCGTACATTTGGTGGTATAGTAACACGAAGTAAAATTGAATTGTCAATAGTATCACGTTCATCACGTGTATAAGAAACATGAACAAGACCATATAATGTATTCAATTGGCAATCTAATTTTGGCATAAGATGTTTTTTAGTTTCCGAAGCCATTCGAGGTCGAATAGTAATCATATTTGATGAAACATCAATACCAGCTAAATGTGAATAAAACCATGCACCAACACTACCAAACATAATATGATTACGAGAGTTCATTCCAGGTCCTGTAAGTGGTGCATTCCAAAGTTCCCATATAGTAGTAGCATTTTCATAAGAATTTGTAAACATATAACCATAGGATGGATAAGTTGTTGATGATATTAATTCAAGTGCCAAATCATGATGTCCATTATCAGAAAGAACTGGATAAATTTGAGCTGTAGATACAATACCTGTTGTTACATGCACACCTTTTTGATTGATGTCATTTACCAGTTGATTGACAACTGCTTCTCGAACATTAGCAGGTACAACTCCAGATAATGCTAAAGCAAGAACTTGTGCTGCTTGCATTCCATCCGCATAAAAATTTGATGAAGTTGAAAAAAATACTTGATGAAATTCTTCGGCGAGTTTTTGATATAATATTGTATAAGTATTAGTATCTTCCTGTTTGCCAAGCACTTGAGACATGTTAATTAAAAGATAAACATCATGAAGAAAAGCAAATGATGAAATTAAATGTCTATTTGTCATAGGCTGTGGTGGTGGTGGAACCCAATCACCATATTTGACAGGAAAATTGACAAGACCTGTTAAATTGTAAACACTACGAAGATATTCCACATAGGCAACTACATGATTATAATAAGCCTCTAGTGTATGAACATCAGTGTAGTGTCGATAAACTTGCCAAGTTATTGTTGGTAACGCAGTACCCCAATTTGGATCGGGTGGATAACTATTACCTGGTACAAAATCAGGTACTTCACCATCATCTCGTTGAACATCGATGATCAAATTTAAAAAGTTCTGATAAAATTTGATTAAATCAAAATTATACAATGCTTCATCGACAGATAATGCTGCATCACCCATCCATCCTCGACGCTCATTACGTTGTGGACTAGAAATGAATCAAGAAGAAAGCTTAAAATTTAACAAATGTATAAATATAACAGACCAATCAGTAGGTAAAGACATAATATTACTCAATTGACCCCATTGAATATTATGTTGAATTTGATTAACGACAGGATTACTTGTAGAAAAATGACCTTTCAATGTTGTTTCACTATGTACAAATGGACATTCAACATCATCCATTGTCAACGCATTCGGCGAACCAAATATAGATAGATAACGAAAACCATGAACAGTAAATCTAAAAAGAAGTACAAAAACTGTTAGCACAATTCCTGTGAGAACAAAATGTGAAACACGATATAGCTGCTATTAATAATCATAGGAAGATAACTTTATTCTATCTTTGTTCGGATACATATCTTCACTATGGTTTTATTTAATCATCCACATATCCAATAAGGAAATATTTTATATTTTTTTAGAACCAGCCGTTATTGATATACTGTCTTTGATGGAATATCTACAATGTATGGCAGAAGGGGGGGAGGGAGGGGGAGTGAGTCCAAAGTTCTACTCTATATACTTTAACGTTTCTTTCAGATCGTGTTTCACAAAAATCAATTCGAATAAATGACACAACAAGAAAAAACAAATATCATACATCGGTTCGTAAATTTCATTAACAGAATCACCACGTAACACATAAGTATCAGCTGCTGTAGCATCACGAAGATTTTCTGTATAGATATTACGAGCAGAATGACTAAAAAATGCACATATATATATTTATCATAATATGCAAAATTCTCAAGGTCTTACTTGGTCGATATAACCGGTTGAGTAAGTACTTCACCATGACGAATATAAACACCAAAACCTGATGGACCACGAAATCTCAAACGGCACCATCCTACCATATTTTGACCCAAATCAAACGTTCGAACACCTATGTAATATTAAAGATTGAAAAAGGTAAATTTCTTCGATAAAAAGAAAAAATGCCTGAATCTGATTCCCACATATCAATAGGTTTTAGTGTTCCGCCATCGGTTAATTGTGCACCTTTGATTTTGCCTATATCTTCAGAAGTCAAATAGCTTTGTTGTTGACTATCTGTTATAACTTCAAAATGTAATGCATCAGATCCAGCACGAATTGGTGGCATATCCTGTAGAACTATTAAACCATTACGTGAAATATTAATTGGTGATGGCATTGATTCAGGCATAATCCAAGCTGATAAGGAGTCATTAAATCCTGCACGAGACCAATTAGAACGATCATTTCGACTATCACATATTTCACCATTATAAACACTATCGTGTTTAATAGAACCTTCTCTACCAGTCCATGTTTGATCACTAAAAACTTGCATTTCTTCACCACTTTCAAAGTTAATAATTAAGATGAAAATAAGACGAGGTGGACCTAAAATTTTTAAATGTAAAATCTTTTTGAACAAAGATAAATTCTGATTTACCATAGTTAGATTCACCATGTTGTTGTTCTTGACTGTACCAACCATTGCCCAATTTAACTCCTACGGCATTCATACCAGCCTAAACAAAATTACATAGATGAATTTTATTTAAAAAAATACAAAAAATTTTAACCGTGATATTCGCTGATAAATCGAATGAAACAATTAGAGTACGTTTTTCATACGTCGTCCAACCGGGATCCAATTTTCGACTTGAATCTACTTTATTACCATTAAGATAAAACTCATAGTAACCAAGACCAGATATATAAGCAATAGCTGATTTGATAGGACTAGCATTTGGAATCAAGAATTCTTTTCTTAATTCATTCATATTGATCTTTGTTGAACCAATCCAAAGAAGATTATCATTTTTTGTTATATATTCATGTAAATTAAATATAGGTGTTCGAAATTGAATCCAATGTGTCCATTCACTAGGTTCTTCTAAGTTTGTTATCCAAACTCGTACACGAAAACGATAATATTTTGATGGTAAAAGATCATTTTGACCTGTATATGGTACATGAATTGATTGTGATGATATAACACGTTCACTATCCCATTCAAATTTTTTATCTTGTTGAGTTATTTTAATCGATTGAAGTTGCAATTGATAAGCTATTTGTTGAACATTTCGTTGCAATAAATTATCCAAAACAGAAATTTTCCAAGAAAATCGAGGTCGTGCTGTATTAATGACTAAATCATGATTGGTATCCACTTTATGATGATCTATACGTACGTCGAAAGGTGATGGCCAACGAGCATCGGCAATTGACCAAAGAAAAAATAGAAATATATTATGATAGTTACTTAGACAACGCATATTTGTAGTTTATGTTCTGAAATAAAATAGAAAAATGATAGCATCCCAGCTCTTTGTTCTTTCTTTATATATTCACATGTATTTTATCACCTATTCTTTTGTTTGCTCGTACTTTATCGAAATTTGGCTTGTTGAAGTGAAAGTAAGATAAAAATAAGTATCAGTACTTAAAAGAAAAGTATGTAACAAATAATAAAAGAACAATTAAACTTATGAAATAGTTTATTTAATCATAACCGATATTAAATAAACAATTGAATTTAAAACAATATAAAATAGTACAATTTTTTAATAGTTTGAATTAATCAAATCGAATATCTTGTAGATATATGCAAGCAAAATTATTATGATAAATCACTGGAAGCAATTTTTAAAATTTCCATTAAAATTAATATATGTATTAAATTATTTCCGATAGTTGTTTGTTCGTTGAGACATTCCTCTTCATGGCTGTTTTGTTTAATTAAGAACTATAGTGAATGGAAGTTTAGATCACGACTTTTGTGGCTTTTTCATCTCACACCTAGCCACCGGAAGATGGGGACAACGATCGTTGGGCACGTTTTCCTAGCAACGAAAAAAAAGCACGTCAATAATAATAATGCTTAGATCATTCTGAAACTTGCTAGAATTGTTCAATGTAATTCTATGAATTCAAGACTTCTATTGTAGATTTTAACTAGTCTAAATGATGTGAGTTTTGGTACTTAATGCAGCGAAAGAATCTTATTTTAGGTGTCAATCGCTAGGGCGATGAAATTATTAATCTAGCATAATCAGAACGGGACGGACATGAAAAATTATGAACTAATTCAATTCTGATTTTAGGCAAAACTCAACGGTATATGTAAAAGTTTATCGAGAGAAATGATGGTGTACTCAGAAGCTCACTGAACTATTAAATCGATATGTATAGCAGGATAATATGGTGGTGAAATCGACGAAATGAAAAATAAAATGATATTTACTTCTTGACTCTTCAATGTGTTTCCATAAAGTATTTTTCAATCATCTGTCTTATCGTTGACTGTTGAGAATAGTGTTGCCAGATCTTCCGGATTTTTATAGTTTTTCCGGATTTTTATGTTTTCTATCTCAATTAGGTTTTACTTTTTGACTCAAATTTTAAGCAAATAATAATATCAATTCAATAGAGGATTGGTGTTACTTTCTATTGTCCTATCTACAAGACCGCATATAAATTCATTTTTTTATTCTATATTTTCTGCAGTCATGAATATATTAAAGATGTATTCTCGACAATGAAACATATATATGCTGATAAACGAAATTTTATACCAACAGTACTCATTACAGATGAATAAAAGATTCTTTTAAATTCATAATTATCGTTTACACAAGTTTATGATTTTGTCTTGTCAAAGTCAGAATTATTAAAACTTATTCAAACGAAAAATATTGTACTCAATAGCAACGTATAAATTAAGATGAAAATGTGTAATAAATAAGTTCTTAGAAATGTTTTAATCATGTTTTAATCTGTGAAGTTTTATATTAATATGTTTTGTGACTATCAAGAATATTGGTGTGTATTAGTTTTTCGAATCGAGCTTACTTTAAGGACTCATACTGGTTGATATGATATTTTCGAGGCCAAAAAGAAATGCTTTTAAACGAACGTAAATGGAAATATACGATTGTTTACGAGTGTAAAGAGTCTTCTTCTTTTTCATTTTCAACTAGAGCAACATTTTAATTAAAATTAGGTTTTTCTATAAACGATGCTCATATTGAACTTTGAATATTTTTTTGGGTGCATTTCATTTATTTCATTAAGACTAGATCGTTCTAAAGAATTCCTTATGTCACCAAATGGTGAAATCTATCTTAAGGAACTTTTTATGATCTTTTGTTGCATTCCTACTCTCTCGTCAAGCTTATTTTCACACATCAATCGAAAATTGAAGATACCATATACACAAATATGCAGTAGCACGAGCAACAACTAAAATATTAATTGAAGTTTTTGTTGATTGCTCATACCAAAAAAAAAATGAATTTTTTCTCAATCGATTCAATAACATATGTAGACTCAGATTTAGACACCAAATAAAATATGCTTAATTTTCTAAATGTAAATAGAACCGTATAGGAAGAAATTCGAATTTCCCTAAAATAGGGATCCTTTTCTCGATAAAAACATCTTTTGAGTTTTCAAGATTTTTTTTTTTACTTGAAAACATATTTTAGAAAGCTAAAACCAAACTTTTCCCCTCTGTTAGATGCGCTCTTTCTAATAGTATGCAAATTAGCGGGAAAAAAAGTCATGAATGTATTTTTTAATTTCCGACATCTTACAACTATTCAGCGTTTTCAGAATATGTATTTCTTTCATCAGTAAATTGAAATAATCACGTACTCCTGGTGAGTCCATTTTTTTCGTAATGATATTAAATCAATAGACTTGGTTAGCTTGCATCTTTGGTTCCTTCAAAATTATATCATTCATGCATCACATCCTCATTAATAATGTCTTATATATATCTGACTCTAGAAAGTTTTTCGATACAAAAGAGCATGTAGAACAGCTAAATTCAGAACTCTCGTACCCAACAAGCATGGCAAGCCAAAATTAACATGGTATTCTAGCTGTTGCATCACACATTTGAACTATTTCAAATAGAGTCGTCAAGTAAATGAATTCTTTATCTTGAACTAGAAAAAACAATGTTCCAAACTGGATCAATATCGTTTATTAGGTGAACATTTGCAAGAAGACATCTATTTTGATGAAATTTGGTTATTATTGTTAGATTTTATTTGAATAGTGTGTCAGTCCTCTATTCGAGAAATTTTATTACAAATGCTATGATACTCTTCCATTAACCTAACGCAAAGTTGCTGATGAAATCAACGTGAGAAAATGCAAAATTCAGATCGAAGTAGCATGATTTGTGTAGAAAATCATACCGATTTAAATCATAATATTGTATTGTAAACAGACAGCAATTGGAGAAGAATCTTCAATAAACAACATTTTTGTAGAGAAGAAAAAGTATTCTACTTTTATAACTCAGATAGTTATAAATAGCATTTATTTACGATTTATATCAGACGTAGAACAAACCACGATATATGAATTATATCAATTTTTATTTTATTTTATTTTTGACCAGATGATATTATACTCATTGACTTTCGTATAAGAGAATATGTATCAATATGTAAGAAAAGCGTATGTGATTGATACAGCAAATTCCTGGAACCATACTTTCTTACTCTTATACAACGGATAAATATTGAGAAGAAATGTCGAACCATTTACAAAAATGTTAAAGTAGTTGCACTGTTAAATTTGAAAAATTATTTGGTATATAACCAGATATTCGATTTTAGATTTACATTTGATTCAATTGCAATAGCAAAAAGATTCAAAATTTTATCACATATTTTTTAAAAGTCTTATCTAATTTCGTCAGTGTCTAATCTAAAACGCAAATTACGATAAGTAGAGTGGAAGCAACTGAACGGCTTATAAATCGTGTGCTTCATAAAGATAATTATCAATTGATCTGAACCAAAACAAAAACACGAAGATGTATGCACTTGAACATATATTAATTAATCGTAGGATTCATATTTAATATGTTTTATTTATAATGAAAACATTCGATGAAGTTTGATACATAAATGAAATTCATATTAAACATGAACGTGTTCAAGAACTTTTATTGTAATTCTTTCTATAATCTTCTTTTTAGATAAATCTTTTTTGATACAATTATATTGGTAAAGTTCAAACACTCTACAAAAGATAGTTTCTAAAATAATCAGTCGTCAATTCCACTTTTTTCTTCGTAGATAAAACTTGCATGCAAATAAATTGTTCATTAAACAATTGAATAAGTACGGAAGAAGCACAGTATGAGATTCACAGCTTCTGTATTAAAAATACTCTTCCTCTTGTTCGCATTCTTTCTTTTTTTTTTTTTTAAAATGTCGATAATAGTTCATGCGTTTAGACTCAATCACCACAGTGAAACATCTTCTTTGTGTACCATAAAGAAGAAACAACAACAATAAACATATAGCTCAAGAAAAGTATGATGTTGCATCTGTTCGTTCAAATAGTTTTAGCTTTCTCATTGGCAAAGACAAATTCGCTATCACAATGAATTTCTTTGCTTGATTTCATGATGCAATATTTCAGAGAGAATATTTGACTGAGTCTTTAGATTTACCATCATATAGACAGAAAAGCATCATTTACGAGGAAAAAGAAAATTCCAGTTTGATCAAACGATGTACGATATATCCGGTTTTTTTAGAAGATACGGTTTTGATAAGAGAAACATGTCCCATTCTTTAGAACTTTCTTGCATGTTCGGTCTACGTCTTATTTCCTTAGTGTTATGTTGTTCTTTTAACACAGCCTCGTTTTTGCTCAAACTGTTGCTCTACTTTTTTGAAAACGTTGCAAACTTAACGATACTCCGCCATTATCAAACTCAACATGAGTTCGATCTAGAGTGTGCACATCGCTGATCTCATTATCAAACATTATATTAATAATGTGAGAAGTAAACTTTCAAACATTTGCATTTTTTTTTCTCATATATAAAGATCACCGAATAATCTATTTAATACTATCAATATGGTCTCAACTCTAGCCATGCAATTGCTGTTCATACAACAATGTATGGGATGGCTTATGGTCGTCTATGTTGTCTTTGGCGTTATTGGCAACTTACTCAATTGTCTTGTGTTTCTTCGAAAACAACTTCGATCGAATTCGTGCTCATGTTATCTATTAGCAGGTTCTATTGCTAATATTATCGTATTGATGTTTTTGGCATCGCTAAGTATTTATTCGATTGAACAATTCGATCCTACTAATAATTCGTTATTGTTTTGCAAATTACGTGGATATATTGGACACGTTGCTATCATGCTCTCGCGTTCTTTACTCGTTCTTGCCTGTTTTGATCGTGCCTGTATCTCATCTAGTAAAGTATCTATGCGAAATCTTGGTAAGGTAC